TCCTCCTCCCCTTCAGTCAGTCCCTGCACACTGCTGGTGCTCCATGCAAGGATTGCAGCAGTCCTGTACACTACTCTGGAAATAAAGTTGAATGATTATTTATGAAGTTTGGCAGCTTGTTTTAGGTATCAGCCACTAAATCTCAACAATCCAGTGTTGTATGTTTAGTGGGGACATTGCTCATGGATTTTTCCCTTTCTTTGAACAACAAAGTGTAAGGAAACTGATATTTTAAAAACAGGTAATTATTTGAGGAGTTGTATCTCAGAAACCCTGTGAGCAAATGACCTCAACTTTGTATCACAAACTCTACCTCAGGCCCTGAATTGTCATAGCAATTTTCAACCCAATCTGACTATGCATGTGGACTACAAAGAGTCAATTGGAAGATAGAAAAATTCATTACAAAAGTTCAATAAGTAACCTTAACTCTAATCCTATATTCCTGCTCTCTCCATCCTTTCTATACTTAAGGGTGCAAATATCTTTCTATTGTCAACCTGATTATGATCCCTCCTTTATTTTTTTTAAAGAAAAATCCAAAAGGCATGAAGCTTCTCATTTTTTTTGACTCTCACCATAATAGATTATTTTGGCAAATTTGAGGTGAATTGGACAAGAAGAGTTTAATTTATGGGAGTTAGAAAAATATGAAAAATTTCACTCTTTTTTTTTTTTTAAACAATTGGTGCAGAGTGGACAGAGTAAAGGTGGACATCAGCCTTGTTTCTGCAGTGTGAGGTCTTACAGCCATATTTGGAGGATGGATTAAGTATATACATGGTGGTTTATATATGGGGTGCGTGTGATGTGGCAGACCAGATGCCAGCTCTTCCCAAGGTTGTAGATGTCAGCTGAGCATTGACAAATTCATAGCTGGAAACCAGACCAGCTCACCTGTATGTTAGTATTGTTCAAGATCGGTATTAGACTTATAGGAATGTGTTTAGACGCTATGGAATGCCTGTAAGTCACTGCATGCATTGATTTCACTTGTCATGTCTGTATCCTATGCTATAAGGTGATATGTAAGTTTTGCTTTATAACTGTAAAAATGTTTGCTCTGAACCTGTGAACCCAGTCAGGAGGAATGGTCCATCACCCATCAGGAAGGACTATCAAAACGAAATAGGCCATTGTGGTACATCATGATACAAAAACTTGGTTAACAGCCCTCTCACACCCATGAAGCTGCTACGTGCAAGAAAGGCTGTCCCATCAGCTTGAATTCTGGAAGAATTCCTTGGAGGTTTTTAAGGCCCGGCTTGACAAAGCCCTGGCTGGGATGATTTAGTTGGGAATTGGTCCTGCTTTGAGCAGGGGGTTGGACTAGATGACCTCTTGAGGTCCCTTCCAACCCTGATATTCTATGATTCTATGATTCTAAGAAGGGGATAAAACAGGGACAAGAAAATTCTCTCTCTCTTTTTACTGTTTGGCCTCTTATAGCACTGGAGCTAGGAAACAGAAGCAGAGATCCCCAGGGTCAACCTGGGTTAGCCTTAAAAGACATTCAGTGCTGGCAGATTACTACAACTCTGTCACCATTTGAAACCATAGACTGTAACTCATTTGTGTATATATGTTGCCTAGTTTAACCTGTAAATAACTCTCTTATTTCTTCTTCTTAGTTAATAAACATTTAGTTCGTTTACTATAGGATTGGCTACAAGTGTTGTCTTTGGTGTGAGATCTGAGGTACAAAATTGATCTGGGGCTAGTGACTGGTCTCTTGGGACTGGAAGCAACTTGAATCTTTTGTGATCTTTGGCATATGACAATCAACTATCACCAAGTCCAACTTGCCTGGGTGGCTAGATAGAGTGGAGTGCCCAAATAGTTTATTGGTGACTCCATGGTAAGACTGTTATAGTGCTTCAGGAGTTCACATTTGTTATTAGGTTGGTGAAATCTAATCACACAAGATACCAGTTTGGGGTGTCAGCTCTGCTTTTTGACAATCTGCCCTGAGGTTGGCACTCTCAGTCATGAACCTCTCCAGACCGCGTGACAGGGTGGATTAAGTAAATTTGTTTCCCTGGATCAGAGTGGGACAGTAGGAGTTGGGAAGATGTTGCGTTTGCGCTGTACATTGTATGGATAAAAGATATGGCATGTTTCCATGAAAACAGTCAGGTGACCTAGAGGATGTTCTGTGGCTGATGTGAGGGGGCTCCTAGATTTGTAACTACTACTGTGTGGTAAAGGTTTATGGTCACTGTTAGAAGCATACCAGAGGTGAGACCTGGTGGTTGGGAATGAGAAGGGGGGGAGAAGTGTGTGTACGTGCATATTTTCAGTCATGCTCTCTCTCCCAGTAGGGTGTGTGTGAAAATTCTATCACAGCGAGCTCTTGTGCTAATAGTCATAGGGGCAGGTGGTCCAGATTGCAATGACAAGAAGAGGGCAGCTGCAGGAGAATAATGTGTGATTTTTAAGCAAAATCACGGATATAAACTTTTACATCTAGTGACTGGTTTACATTTTCTAGGCTATTTTTACAACAAAAAGGGCTGATTAGCTTTGTGTTCTAAATGAAAGCTTAGTTACATATAAAAGATTACAAGCACTCCTGATGGGAGTTTTCAAAGGTTTTAAGTCCCTAACTCAAATTAACCACCCAATCTTTCAAAAAGTATTCAAAAGGGACTAGTTCTCTCTGGGGACAACAAAATACAACAAATCTGGGACTCACTAGATTCCTGGAGGTATAATATTAAAAAACCCTAAATGCAGCTTTTCCAAAAGTGAAAAGCCTTCCACATTTCATATCTCCAAAACAACTTGACCAATTAACCTCTAACTTTGCAAAATGAAATATGCCCGAGAAAGGCCAGGCAGAATTTAGATTCTTTGAGGACTGGATACAGGGACGGTAATAGCAGGATTAAAAATAAAATCTAGTTTCAATTTGAACTATTAGGTCATACTTATGGCTCTGAAAATAAAATTATACAGTAAGCATTATTTCAGATAATATTAAAAGGAAAAATTGTAATTTCAATAAAACATTATTGTTTTCTGATGGAAAGAATCTCTCCAGCAACAAGGGGTGCTGGAACAGTTTTTCTAGTGAGGGTTCTAAGAGCCATTGAACAAAACTATAAACTATGCACATAATGGAATTCACTTCAAACCAGGGGGTGAGGCAGCATCTCCAGCACTCCTAGTTCCAGCACCCATGTGAGCAACTATTCAATGACACTAAATAACTAACTTAGAACAATTATGGGAAATTACTTAAAATCTTTTAAACATTTAATATTTGCAATCAACAGAATATCTGCCAAACACTAGCTTTTGGTGACTCCAGATTCAAGGCACCTGCATTACTGTGATCATAAATGATTCCAGGGTCTATAGTTTCTCTCTCTGATGTCCATCAGTTATCTTGAAGAAGGCTGTACTACTTTTGATAGCATAGACTTCATTTTGCAATATTCAGCAAACATTTCACTGGCAACCTTAAACTCATGCAACACTTGATATTTATGTGGCAGAGAGTCTTTTCTAGTTTATTCAATAAAAAGCTGTTTCCAAAAATGGCCTCAAAAATTGCACAGCAATTTTCGGCTACTAAATTTATGTGCATGCGGTTTTATATGGCCAAGTTTCTGCTCAAGCAAAAAGTTGGATTTGCGTATGCAACCTCTATTCTCATTCTTACGTGCAAATGTTCAGATCTGCATGTACAAATATATATGTATGCAAAATTAAGTCCATAATTTTAGAAACTAAGTGGAGTCTGCTCTGAAAATTCAGCCCTCTACATCCACAGTGATAAAGTGCTGTACCTTCTTTTTGTAATTAGTGAAGGAATAACTAAACAAGAGGTATATAAGTCAGCTGATAGTCACCATGATCTACTTGAGAACTTGTCTCAAATTTCTTCACACTCAAGTGCCTTTTGCGCATTCCATAGTAACCAACCGTGGATCAGCTTTATTGTCAACAGAAAGGCCAACTTTTAATTTCTTTGTTGCAGCATGAAGGTTGCACATGTCACTGTATCCTGAAAGTGACCCAGGGTAAAAGAGAGAAACCCATCTGACTAAGAGGAGTTGTCTTGAATTGTCTTGCACTGACCAAATCTACCAAACAAGAATGACAATTCTCTCAAGAGTAACAAAAGAGGCTGGGCAACATTTGACTATAAATGAGATATGTTCATTTCCTCCTGCCTAAATAAAACACAATTTTAAAGTGACAAGATTAAAGAGATAGAGGAATACTGGCTTCTACTGAAGATTTATTTTCATTCCTTCGCACATAAACAGGAAATAGATTTCTGAACATTTTATTGGTTGAACACACAAGTTTTTGCACCTTCACCGGGCAATTTCTCTTATGCTGGCAAGTAATGGTGCCTGCAGTTAGGTAGCTACCACTTTCAACAACATCACAATGCCACTTTCTCAAATCAAAATAGAAAAACCCTATCAAATCTCTTCATTGTCTTTGCTCTGTCCCCCTCCTCCTACTCCCTTAATTTTTATCCTTATTGACAAGGCTTATTATTCTTCCACCCAATTCCAACTGAAATAAACTACCATTTTGCAAATAGTAGTCTCAACTATGTGGTCACTAGTAGTATAGGTCAATAATGTTATTAATATAGCACATGCTGCTGAGAGCAGATCAAACAGCCATGCTTTAAAATGTTAGTTTTGTGCAATTGAGACAAACAGCATCAGTTTTCTACACATTATAAAAATGTAATATTGCAAGGACAGAACGAAAACCAAATCTAGTGCTATTTACCACAACACAGCCCTCTGATTTGGAGAATATATTATTTCTTTCTTGTTGTTTTCACACAACACACAAAATAAAATAATACCATAACAGAAGGGTGCTGTATCTGTGTTTAAAGAAGGGGTTGTTGGCAAACACCACAGCTCACTTCTGCCGAAATGTACACAACTGATATATGCAGCACGGAAAGCTGGCACCATGGGCTTACAACCTTAATTTGCCTGCAAGAAGGAACGGAGATTTACCTTCAGAGCACGTTCTTGATTGTTTTCAGCAGTCAGATGTCTCGTGTTGTTTGCTGAAGTCTGGTTCTGCTCTTTCAGATGATGAAGCTCCTGCACCAGCCGTTTGCACTGCAACGAGGAAAGAATTCCATTAAGTAAAGGAGATGGGGCATATTTTTTTCCCCAAGAAGCCAAATGAATTAATGTAAATAACACCATCACCATTTTTGCAGCGGAAAAAGCTTCCAACAAAAGCAAGTTGTAATCAAAGAGATGAAATCATTAGATCTATACACTACACAAACACGTAAATCAATCTTTTATTCATTGTCTTGTTCAGATCCAATTGTTTGAAGGAAAAACTCATATCAAGTATAGTATAGCAAGAAACTCTGCCAAATAATATTTAAATATATTTTACAAATTAATACGACACTGAGCCAAATTCTGGTCTCAGCTGCCCCAGTGTAACAGAGCAGAATTTGCCCCATTATATATTTAAATATAATTGAATATGAGAAAAGTAAGTATGTACCTTTACAAAAACCCTCACTTTTTAATAAGGAAATATATGTATAGATTTATACAGTACATATTAATAAAACACAGAGAGTGCATTCATTCCCAAATGTATATCAGATCTTGGACGACAACTAGTTTTTTAAAAAAATGTTTGTTTTTTAATAGTCAACTTTTTAAAATAATCAAGAACGGGATAGAAAATTTTAGTTTTTCCTATTCTGAGTGTGTACATACAAACACTTAAAGGAGTTAACTTGAATAAGTATTTTAAAGGCCCAGGTATTTAGGGTATTCAAATTGGCACCCAAAGCAGATTTAACTAGTTTTCAAGATAGCAATGAGGGCCAAAACCCAACTAGCCTGGCTTACCATAGTAATTAACAATTAGCAGAAAAAACTCTTATAAAAACAGGGAAAGGGGAACTAGAGATGAAGATTCAATGTCTTACTATGAGCATGTCAGAGGAATTGCTAAAGCAAAAATGAGAGAAGAGAACGTATTAGCTGAAAACATTAGCAAAAACAAAATCGATTTAGCATACACCATATTACTGGGAAGCAGAAGGAAGTAGTTAGGATAGCACCATTGAAAACCAAAGCCTGGAGGAGCTTGACGGCACAGCATCTGAATATTCAAAGATGAGGAACATGTTCTGCTGAATACTCAGAGTAGGCATAGAGGGAAGGGAGAAGATCAAAGATGTAATGGCCACTAGCACTGTGATCTCAAAACTAAAAATATAAACTCAAATAATATTACTATGGACAGATAGCTTCCAAAATAATCCAGGGTCATAAGCTATGTAAGGAATCAAATTTCCTATCAAATTTATAATCTGTCATGATGCAGGACTAGCGAGCAAGGAAGGATGGCTCACGTTAGCCCCAATGTTTAAAACGGGTAAATGGTTCTGAACCAGAAGACTACAGGCTAGTGAGTCTATCTACAGTCCCAAATAAAATTTTAAAGCTATATCCAAAAATGCATTTTCCAACACAAGTTTAGATAACAGTGTTTTATTTCCTTCTTTAAACTCTTAACCACAAATAATGGACTCTGGGCCCCATTACCAAACACTGGCACCTAAACTGGATGCCAAATCCCAAGGCTTGCATGGGTATCCAAATAATGGCTGTTGCTCAAAATGGGCAAATAAGGGCTGATCTGAGCACCCAAATGAAGTATCTGGGTCTCTATTTTATGTATTTGCATATGAAACCTGAGCTCAGAAAAGTTACCAGCTCTAGTGAATTTCTCCTTTTGAAAAAGAGGGAATATTTCTGGAACTAGTAGATTCTCTCAAACTGGTGGCAGTGAGCACGTGTGCTAACTGTATCGCAGCTATTTCATTTTTATAGTGAATAACAAAGGAGAAAAAGAGAAAAGACAAAACAAATCTGTTAAAGTGCACCATGATGGATGGTGGTTGTGGATTTTTTTTCCTTGTTAAAGCCTAAGGCTAAGATGATATATTAATACATTTGATTTGTGTATGTCTGTGTTTATTTGTATAAAGCAATGGTTCAAGTACTGAATATAATTGTAATGCTCATTTTTACAGAAAACAGCAATCATAAATCATGCCCCTAAAATGCCTTTTCAGAACAAATTTGCGAGAAGTAAGGTGGTATGAAAATAACTCCAACTACTCTGAATCAGTTCTAATTAAATCCATGTATATGTGGGTACAGTTTCTCTGGCATGCAGACTCATAACACCAGAGTTTTCAAATCAGTTAGTTAATTCATTATCACAAATCATGAGTTTTCGGTTTCAACTTAACATCAGCAAAATTGCCATTTCAACCTTTCAAAAATGCCTTCCTTTAAAAAAAAAATCTTTTGTATTGAAATCTCTTAACGTTATACTAATTGCACCAATGACTCTTAAAACAGACTGGGGTAACATAAGGAAATGGGTCAAAAATTTAATCCACCTGAAAAATATCATGCATTTTTATTCACACTGCCCTCCTGGCTCCAAAAATAACACTGGTACACAGATAATATTAAAACTAGTTATTGGATAATTCAATAACAAACCTCATGTGCCTGATGTTTTGCACAACTGCAGGCCTCTGTGTGCACTTCATAATATTATTCTACTCTATTTGTTCCACTCTTGTGAAGACAGGATATTGACAAACAGAAACAGCAAGATTCTTGCACTATCCTAGCTACTCACAGGGCAAGCAGGCAAGTCAAAGAGAAGCAGCACAAAGCATGCATGCCCATACATCAAAGCAGCTGGTAGAATTAAAGGTATGTCACCCTCAACAGTGTCTAAGTTGATTTAAATATGCTAGATGTGCACTTTCCCATCTTAAGTGAATAAAATGATCTCATTTTCACTAAAAACATTGACAATAGAAAATCAGGACTAGTGTTGCTAGAATCCATTTTAGGGGCATCACAAAAAAAATAAAATAAAAACCAAACCAAGTTAGTGACTTAATTTACTTATCACAGGAGAAAAAGTGTATAATTAATTAAGTCTATGATAGTGTCACCCAAGTAGAAGGCACAAGTCCCCTAATTCATTTAAAATAATTCATTAACCAAACCTGTCGCAGGTACATCGCAAATCAAATTTATTTTCACCAGTCCAGGAAATAGCACCTAGCTATGCCTTGTCTATGAAGAACTGTTGTTATGGTGACAATTTTTTATTTATATGTTAATGGTATTTTTATGCTATATACAATAACTTCACAAAAATGTACAGTTAGAATATTTTTAGCATTAACAATACTGTACTAAAAGTACACACCTTTCTCACAAGGGCAAGAGTATCTGGAATTTCTGTGCAGACAATATTTTTGCTGTTCGGAAGGAATATTAAGAACAGTTTTAGACAATATGGGGCTTCTACTCATTTCAGCCAACATTTTTTGACTTCTGTGTTGTTGATTGTTAGCAGGGTCCAATAAAAATAGATGTTCTTTAAAAGAACATGTGTTTTTATTGGTTCCCCACTTTGCTGAAAGATGCCAACAGCTGCAAGGATGAAACTGGACTTCCTTCTAAAAACATGTATAAAAATCTTTTTGGAGTAGGGCGGAGAGAAGACATGGCCCAGTTTAATACTGACAAGGAAGCATCAGATGTTTGCTTTTAAGGCCTAAAGGAGGAAGTCTTTTATTTTTAGTATTATAAATGCGAATTTCTAAACCCTGCTATATCAAATGTGTGAAGATATTTATTTGTGAAACATTCAAGCTATATCCTAGCAATATCAGAGATGAGTGAAACTATTTTAAAATGATATATCAACTTAAGTAGATTTTGGACTATCTACAGATTCTTATTTGAAAGAAAACTGCTCATGTAGAGGAAATCCTGAATTAAGCATTATATTATGTAAAAGGCAATAATCATTTAGCAATCTGTTTCTTTCCTAGATTGAATATCTTACATACTTTGGACACAATCATGGCACATATGCACAGTGTCATTGCAGGTCAAGGGGGGGATAAACATGGAGTAGAGTCCTGGAGACGTAGCTAGGAAGGGGTCATTAGAGCCTTGGTGAAGGAATGTGTCGTTTCATGGAGATTCACACAAGTAACCCATTGCAGATCAGCTCACTCATGTCAATGGATTTTACCATCAAGAAAAGCTGTGTAGTCAAGATATGCATCGCCTATGCAGAGCTCCGGTGTGTAATGTCAAAAAAGGGTGAAAGGATTTGATAGAAAACAGGAGAAATTTTCCTAAAGCACAAATTATTATAACATCTGGATGTACACATTAGCTCTAAAATTACCAAGCTTAAGTCGGCTTTGCCCATGTCACCAACAGCCTCTAACCCAAACAGTGCTCCTCTTTAAACTCACCCCCTAGCTCTGCTCCCTTAGCAATAAGTCTTTCCATTTTGTACAGCAGTTGCCAGTAAAACATCAACATTTCCCAACACTTGCCACTCACCGTTGTACTAGTTTTCTTCTATAATTAAAATAGGAAACAACTGCAGTGTCTAGAGAACCACTGCATGGTAAATGTTGGCATATGGTGACACTTTAATGGTGATCACCACACAATCATTCAAAATGTAATCACTTTGGACTTGATTTTTATATTCCTCCTACTGAATTACGTATGTATAGAGGGCTTTAGTTTTACACCCATGAATTTCAGAGAGGTAGTGAGAAAGGGACAGATATGATGGGCAACATAATTAGCATTTGCTAACAAAAGGGCTGAAGCACTCCCACCCAGCTCAGCCAGTCTTCTTCCCTCCTGCTAGGCCTGAGAGCAGGGCACTGCAAAAGGATCCTCCAAAGAGCTTTTCACCACTATGCCTTGAAGGGAAAAGAAACTCCTAGGTCTTTCCCTCTATCAGGCCTGAGGCAGGTGAAAATACTCCTGCTGTGTGCCCACCCCCAGACTTGGAGCTTGGGGAAGAGCGGTCATTCTAGATTAGTCCCTCACTCAGGAGGGGGATGAAATCTGGAGTGAGGGGGTTGGGTGGGGGTGTGCATGTGTCTCCATCCTCTGGAGGCTGTATCCCATCCCACACCTGGAGGGTTTGAGGATCTTCCTTGTGGTGGTATGCAGCATCACAGGGATAAAGGAAGAGTAAGGAAGTCAACTGTGTGTGAGAGAGA